CAAGTGTGCAAAGTGAGTATATTAATGAGACCTTATTGAGAGACAGTTAGTGCTCTACAACTTTTCTTTTAATACTAAAAACAAGAATTTGCTACAACTTTTAAATCATCTATTCTTGCTTTCTGTAAATTAAAGCTGATAGTCCTAAAATTTCTTTACAATTGGCTAGTCTGGCCCATGTATTTATTAAGTAGCAAATCTTTCATACTGGTTGTAAAGTAACCAAACTAAGGCCTTTAAGCAAAATTGCTTTTAAAGTAAAATTAACATATCCACCCAAACACAGCACATTGTTACTTAGTCTTAACTTATGTTTTTCCCTTAGCTCCCTCTGTAGGTAAAACTCTATAGGTAAAAGCATAAAGATAAATTTTAGTCAAGATTTGTAAAATCCAAATATTTTTTGTTTTTCTATTAAATTTGAACTTGAATGGGTATTGATAGATGGGTATCTTTTTAAAAGACTATTTAAAAGTTCTGTCTTACAGTTCCTCTGCTGGAAGGTGTTCTTGGAATCTGATTTATCCTCATTATTGATATTTCTTACCACTACTCCAGCTCCTGTGTATCTGCATAGCTCTTGGCTATTCCTATCTTCGCTTGCTATTTAAACAGTTATTCAGCTGCTTTGAAAAGACTGTGATTATGAATTGTGTTAACTTTTTTTTTTAATGTACCCAAAAACACAGGTCACAAGGGAGTGATTAGTAACACTGGACAGAGTATGGCTTAAGTAAAATGGCTATCTGTGGCATACCTTGTCACTATATAAAAAAGAGTAATTGACCTTGACTTCACAGATCTATCCAACACCTGGAAAATTTAGCTTATCTGTAATATGTATTATTTCATTTCACCAGTTGGGTTTAGGTTCAGATAGAAAATGCAATAAACTGTATCAGTGACGCCTATTCATGAGCACTGTGAGCAGTGCAGGTTGGTGGGTATTCTGTGGTCACCAGTGTCCCATGCTCTTCTATCTTTTTGTCTGCTGTCCTTGGTCCATCCTTTCTCACGTGCTGCCCCAAGATAGCTGTACAAGCTTTAACCATCATGCCCATGTTAGAATCAGAAACAAGGAAAGATGACTGGGAAGAAGACCTCTACCCTCCTTTTAAACACGCTTCAGGGAGGCCAGGTAGCACCTCTCTGTTTACATTCTATTGACCTGAACGTGGCCCTACATCCATCCCCAGCTGCAAGGGAAGACTTGGGAAAGCCGACTTTATTTCAACTAAAAATAGTATTTTTTTTAACTGGAGAAACAATAGAGAACATATATTGAGAAACTACAATAGAATGTCTTTTCCATATAAAAAGGCTAAAATAAATTGGAAATTAAATTGCTTTTCTTTCACAAAGGAAACTAGTCTTTTTAAAGACTCATTTTTTTGGGTTTCCCAGAGAAGGGAACACTTAAGCTAAGCAAAAAGGACGTACTAGGAGTACTGAAATTGAAGGAAAAATTATGGGGAGTAGAGTGGTCCTTAAAATCTCAGGGACTGGAACTAGAAAATCAAGTCTAGGTTCTTACTCTCCATTCTTTTCTCTCATCTCTTCTTCCTCTCCTAATTCGTTCTCACCTCCATAGACAAGCATCCCCTCAGAGCAGGGAACGTGGCCAACATCCTCCCACATCCCCAGGATTACCTGCTTATTGCCCCTCGCTTTGAAAGACAAAAGGATGCTTCACTCTTGGCCCCAACAGTAAAATCCTGGGGCTGCACTCTGTTCCAACATCTGTTCTGTTCTGAGCCAGCCACTGTGACAGTAGGCAGAGGCAGAGAGGACCATGATGGACCTAAGCCATAACTGCTCTGGGATAAGGGGCACTACCTGAACAGTGGAATGAAAAAGATGGAACATGACAAGTAAGCAGATTGCAAGCCCCATGGCTAAAATAGGCAGGGAAGCAGCTGGCAAATCAGGAGTGGTCTGCTATGCCACGTGGATCACCTCCGGGGCTGAGGATTGAACTTGCACTGACACGGCGATGGCTAATTTGCAATCATACATAAGCTTTTATGCTTATTATTTTGTCTTCTCTGCTAGAGCGAAAGGCCACTGAGGACTGGGAATTTGTGATTTTACAGAATTCTCTGACCTACCTCTAACTTGGTGTCCAGCAGTTAGTAGATGTGAAGTAAATATATGTGGAATGAATAACTTTCCTAGCCAGAGTGTCATGGATGGAAATGGGTGGTCAGGGTAAAAAATGTAGGACCCTAAAACACTCCAGAATAGGATTTAGTCACCATATGAATCACATAGGAAGCAGAAAATGTTGAGTAGTAAAACAGAGGCATCTGGAGTTTCTCAGATACCATAAGTCATCCACCAACCCTAGCTGGTTCTCATTATCTCTGACAAAGGGCAATAAGAAGAGAACAGATGAGTGAAATAATCCAAAAATGTAACAGGAGCTAGTAGTTCTCACTCTATGCATTAGCACATTCTAACTGTAACAACTAGCAATTAGCACAGTGGATAGACTTGAGTCTTATCACCCTTCCTGAGAGCTCTCAGTGGAAGACAGAATGAATGCTTCTGCTTCTAGATGCAGCATAGACAACATAGCCTACGCCCAAGAAAGGGAACCTAGTCTGTGCTAGCCTTTGTTGGTTTAAGCTCTCCCCCGAAAGCTTAGCTTGACATGACTTGAGGAAATTTGATGAAATTATTCATTCAACTGATGTCCATATCTTTATTCCTGGCTAAAGAACTAGCTTCTTGCTTCACCACGAGTTTCCAAAGGACCACCTGAGCCAAGGATGACCACAGGTGGCATGGTTTTCATCTTTCAAACTTGCCATCCATTCAACTTCCAGTGCTTTACTTGATGGGAAGCTTTATCCTTGGCTTCTACACAGTGGAGAACTGAACAAGTGCTGTTTGTCTTTCCCGTAACTAGCTCTAAGAAAGCAATGCGCGATTCAAGAAACATGTTGACTTTCTCTTTCTTCCATTCTTTTAGTCTGTGGTCTGTAAGGTAAAGGTGGGGAAGACAGTTGGGTCTTGAGGAGGAACACTTTGGGGCTTTTGTACTGGTACAACAACAGTTTGTAAAATGGTGTCATTTCTAGATATGACCATTAGCCCAGATTCCTGAGTATCTGCCTTCCCTGATGGAAAATGAGGCCCAAGGTATCTGGTTATGTAATATAAATGAAAAGGGGTTAGAGAAGAGTATCATATGCATTTAAGATTATGTCCTTAACTACATTTGTATATTTTGCATGGTTTATATATTGATCATTTTAAATACAAAAATGAATATATAGCAGTAACTATAACTGTAGTTAACACTTTTGAGTATTTATGCATTAAGCAACTGCCTGAGCGCTTTCTATATATTAACATGCCGAATCTCCCCAGCAATCCTGTGAGGTCGCTACTACTGCTAGCTTCATTTTACAGGTGAGAAAATTGAGACTTTGCCTAAGGTCACACAGGTGACAAGGAGTAGAGTCAGGATTTAAATCCAGTTGGGTGGGTCCCCAACACCATATTCTTAACCTATCCAAAACTTCCCCCGTTTTGCAATATTTATTGTTTAATGGTTTCATTATCCAGATTAGTATCACTCATAGACACAGCAAGTGTCTAGTAGTTGGAAGAGACGATACCGGTGGTGGCTACCATCAGTACACCAAAGTTGGCAGGTTTCACCATATGGGATTTGGAGACAATCACACCTTTGTTCTTACTGTGTGGCCCCAATCATGTTACATAACCTTTCCGATTCTTCACTTTTCTATGAAATAGGAGCAGGGCTTACTACATCCTCAGAAAATTCTGAGTGTAAGTAATTTCTCACACAGAAAGTACCAAGTATTATAGTAAGTGTTCAATAAAAGTGGTTTCACTTTGGGGCCTTTTAGCCTAATCACAGTGGAAAAAAAAATCCTAAATAATGACTTTCCTTCCCAAAGAAATTAATACAAAACCATATCTAATTTAGAGCAGTTTTTAGTTAGTCATAAGTTCTTCCTTTTCCAGCTAGTCAGGCCTAGCTTTTGTTTGAGTCCTGGTTAACTTTTGACCTACAAATAAACTACCTTATTTTTGTAACTGGAATATCTGACACCCTCTGGAGGGGTCTATTGGTTGTTACCGTCAAGCCATTGACATCTTTTCTTCAGGTGTTGCTCAGGCCTGGGAGTGGGGGGATAGACTGCAGGGCACTCCTATCCATCTTGCCTTTCTACTCTTCCCCCTCCTTCTCCTGATGTAAAACCTGTGTATGCTTTTTGAAATACAGCCACTCCACCCCTGCCCCCATTGCCTCCCACAGGGGAGTGTGTCAGAGAATCTGGATATAATTGATAGAAGCAGCCCACAAAGGCACTTCCTACAAAGGCATTGTCTCCAGAGGGCATGGCATATTAGTCAGTTTAGACAGTTTCTAAAATTGTTAACATGAAGGGTATTTATTTATTTTTCCTTTCTATTGGGGACCTTGCTGAGCATCCCAGGAAGTCCACAGTGTGACATTCCAGTCTCCACAGAGAACATGCCTCTCAGCCAGTGTCCTCCTCAGCCCTGATTTTCTGCGACCGTCTGGGGGGAGATTAAATTGAGGTTTATCTTCGAGTGACTGGAGTTATTTTTGTTTTCATTCGCCTGGACTATTGTCATTAATGCTAAGACACTAGCGGGAACAAGGCTTTTATTATAACGTGAGGGTGAGGATGGCTTTGACTGACCTTTCTTCTGCTGGAGTTTCAGTGTTTTAGTATGTGCTGCTTGCGCTGGAAAGAATTTATAATCACAGGCTGTCAAAGACAGCCATTGTTCTCACTGCTCCGAACATTTGGGTCAGCCACAAGTGCTTTCAGCTCCCCCAGCGCCAAGAGCTGGCTGAGAGTGAGACCATGCCTGGATTCTTCTGAGGCATCAGGAAAAGCATTTTGCATATTTTTCATTGCTTTTTTTTTTTTTAGACTTTTTGCCTTAGAAAGACAGCTCCCTTTCAGAGCAAGCATTTCCCTTCAAGGTAGTAGGAGATGGAAGCACGCTGCTGCAGAGCTTTGCGGAACTGATTCTGCTGTGTGCATTTGTGAGCTCTCGCCCACGGGAGCAGTCACAGACGGGGAGGGGGCTCTGTCCCAGCACAGACATGCTGTTATGGATTCTGAAAGGCTGGTCAAGGTGAAGGTTTACTTTTTAATTCTTGTTTTCATCTCTCATTGTATTCTTGGGAATCCAAACTTTTTACGATCTGTTATTTTTCATTCTCAAATATTGCAGAGAATGAATTACTAGAGAATTTTTTTTTTAATGTGCATGATTTCCTGGTTGGGAAAGTTGCGACATGGAGGGCTAAAGAATGAAATGTTAACTTGTAGATGATAATCGAGCCAGTCACTGGTCACCAAAACCTTCCATCCTGAGGGTAGTAGGATGCAGGACTTTTTGGAGACCGCTGGAGTCAGGATTTCCTGAGAGTGGACAGACTTTTTGCCTCTGCTGCTGCAATGTCTGAAATCCTCTTGATTTCTTTTTGCACAGGAGACTGATGATATTGAGAGTCCCAAACGGAGTATCCGCGACAGTGGCTACATCGACTGCTGGGATTCAGAGCGCAGTGACTCCCTCTCTCCTCCACGACACGGCAGAGATGATTCCTTCGACAGCCTGGATTCCTTTGGCTCCCGTTCCCGGCAGACACCTTCTCCAGATGTAGTCCTCAGGGGGAGCAGCGATGGTAGGTTGAAGCCTTAACACACTGCCTGTCTTAGAATTAAACATTAACAAGGGCTGCCTTGTCGCTGGTGCAGGGTTAGCTCTGGAAAGCAAGGTCTCCCTGTCCACCTTGCTGAAACCTGGTAACTCTAAACCGGTAGAAGAAAAATGTTTTTAATGTTTCTTCATGGTCTTGGGCATTTTGGTTGGCTTTGCCAGCAGTTTGTCTGAATGTTAGCTCCATGAATATATCTCTATTGGAAAATGTGTGACATCATTCCTCCTTGGTCTCAGTGAATCAAGACACTGTGCAGACCATTAGCTCATAAAATGTGCCGAAGTTTATATTCGTTCGTAAAGTGCACTGAGTATGAGGATGGGAAATGTGTGAGTATCACACTCTATAAGTGAAAATGAATCAACTTTCAGCAAACCGGATGTGCCCTATATGTATGTACTAATTAGCTTGCTTGTGGCCATCTGTTCTGTGCTAAGGACACCCAAACCGTTCATTTGTGTCATGCAGGGCCTTTCAGTGGCTACTGCACAGCAAGACTTTCTGTCTGATCTGAGACTGGGTTCACTATAAATCCTGTGGATTTTATATCACCTGTAGGAATGATAATGCTTCTTTAAATACTGTGTGGTCAAGAAGCCTAAGTTAGATGTAATACATATTTCCAGAAGCTATTTGCCTTAATTATCTTGCACCTTTGTTCTTAAGGGAAGATGGTTTGGCTCTGGGAGTATAAACCTTCTTAAAGAGACTCAGGCTGGTGTGGAACTTTTTATTTGTTTCCATTTTTGTTTAATGTATTAACTTGATTGATAGTATTTTTAGAGTCTTAGGCCAGATGTCATAAGCATGGAACAGATCACCTGCTCACTGTGATGAAAATGATCTTTATAGCTAAAAGAGCTCCACCACCTATACAAGCCTATGTATATTTGATGTCCAGAACTAATTAATACACAACACTTAGTATCTCTTCTGGACATCAGCACAGCCCCATGAGAAGACCTCGCCTAGTCTTCCCACAGGAATGGGGGATACACCTTCTTGGCCATATTTTATAGATAAACCTTTAGGGAAATTAAGTAATTATCCTGACATTTTAAGTGACAAAACTTACTGTCAGTAAATAGCTTACCAGTGTAAACCTGAAAATTGTGAGTCCAGAACTTCTACCCTATGCTTAATTTATCCACTCTTCTTTCTCTTTGCCTAGTAGATATTTTAAAATTCTAGAAGGACTTCTGTTTAGTACTTAAACTTACCAACAAATAAATTCGCTTGGGGGCCACTGAGTCTGTGACTCCTAAGGAATTCCATAGTGCATTGTGAACTAATTAAGAAACACTTCTAGGCCCTCCCTGGTGGCGCAGCGGGTTAAAGTACTGCACTGAGAAGCTAAAGCCACTTCCGCATGAGTTCGATCCCCGCCTGCCCCAGAGGTGACCACATGGCGTGGCAGAACTCTTCTGACCCGCCCTCTGCTCCCCTCAGCAGTGTACTTCGTCGATCTGACTGTTCTGTTCCCCACTCTGTCTCTGGTGAAGCCTTTCACCACCCCTGAGCCTCTGGCCTGTACCCCAGTTCTGTATGTACAAATAAATAAATCTTTTAAAAAAAAAAAAAAAAGAAACACTTCTAAAATTTTATGTCTTAAACACCACCCACAGTATTAAAAGTTGTAATGCCAGTGCACAATCTACTTGAGATTTAACATAACCAAAAGGTACATTTACTTTTATAAAATGTATCTTCACAAAACTTTCAGTAGCATTGTTTTGCTTGTTGTTGTTTTTTTAAAATTATTTCTTTCATTGTGGTTTTTTATAGCTGGCAGTGTTAGTCCTTTATTTTGTTACCAGGGTTCCAGGGGTTCAGAGTTTATAAAGAGCTACATCTTGAAGGGATTTGAGATGGTGATTACTAATATTATACTAATATGTGCTGAGGCATAATTTAGTTTGCAGTAATTAAGATTGATAAGCTAGAGTATTTTCTAAATGTTTTTTCCATCTAAAGAATAACATGAAATTGAGCTTCACAAAACTACATCCATGAAAGAGCATCTTATGCATAAATTCCACCAATCAGCTTAATACCTTCAGGCTTATGTTTTTGTAAACTAATCAGACCTAGTGAGGTTTTTAAAGAGAAACAAATTTTATCTACCTAAGAATAGTGCATAATTTTATCCAACTAGATGTTGGATTTCATTAGAATCTATGACACTTTTTTTAATTGATGTTAACCAAGAAGATTGCTCTTCTTAATAAACAATTTCAAAGTTAGGAGAACTTTCAGTTTAAAATACACTTTTAAATATACTTCCTATGCCTACAATCAATCAAGAAAAGTCTCACCATGAAATTCTCCAACTCCATCTTGGATATGGAGAACTTTCTTAAGTCTCACAGGCCCACTAACCATGAGAACTTTCTTAAGGCTCACAGGCTTAGCCATGAGAGTGGCCTGGGAGGGGTGCCATGGAAGTCTCCAGAGGTGTTCGAATCCATCTCTTTTGCTAGATACGTACCTACTTCCTCCCTAGCCTTCTTTCTGAGGCCATTCACTGGGGTTTCAGGGAAAAAATACAAAACCTTCCATGTAGGAATTTTAAAATTAACATATTTATAAGCATATGCATTTTATTAATGGAATGCTCTTATCTTTTAGATAGAATTTAATGGAGGCAAAAATGAAGGGAGAAAATTTTATGTATTAGAGGAGGTTTGGAAGTGTGTATTGCAAATACACATTTTTTAAAAAAGTAAGATCCTTTGTTGCTGAGAGAGAATTGTAGCGCTGTGGAAAGGCAGGAGCTCATGGTCTGTTGTATTTTCCTAACTGGGCATAGAAAAGGCACCGTAGTGTATTTCCATAATTTCAGGAAGACATGAAGTCAAGATCTTTCAAAGTCCCAAAGTTAGATAAGCAGAGCGTGAACGTTCTCAGCGAGAATGCCAAACCAGGCACTTCCTGGGCACTTTTGTATTTAACCTCATGCCATCCTACAAGAACTGGATGATTAAACCCGTTTTTCTGATGAGAACCCTGAAATACAGGTTTATGTTTTCTGGAGTCACATAGTTAGTAGGTGATGGAGCTGAAATTAGACCCTGGTCTCCAAATACAGAAAACCACAAACTACTTCCTACTGAGCCAGTCTGCCTCGGGATATTTGCACACTTCTTTTAAAGTGTCTGTTGGAGATATTCAACAACAGAGTAATGGAAGGGGGAGTGACAGGAGGGTAGTTGGTTTATGTTTTAAACAATATATTTTGAGACTTTTCCTCAGTCTATTATGGATAATATAATTGTAGATACTGTACACAAATAAGGTTCATAATTATAGATCTTTAGAATTGAAACAAGTCTAATTCTAAGCCTGCCTAGTTGATTAAAGGATCCTTTTTTTCTTTCATTCATCCAACAAATGAGCACTTCCCCTTGTCAGGATGCTTTAAACAGAGGACAATTTTCCAAAAGAAATGTGTCACAGAGGAAGGAACTCTGAGAGTTTGGAGAACAGAATGGTAATCCCAGCTGTTACTAACCAGAGGGGGAGAAGGGACTCATTCTGTCTCTCTGAGCTGTTTCCACATTTATAAAATGGTGATAATATCAAATCCAAAGGTAAAATTTGGGAAAGGTAAAGTATAATTAGTGTTTATAAAGCAGTTCACATATTGTTAAACATATCCGTGCACTAGGACAGATACCCTTGCTAAGGGAGAGGGTGGGGAAGCAGCTAAGTTCTGAATCCAAAAACTGACAAGTAATGAAATGGTCAAAATTTCAAAAGATTGAAAGCCAGTGACATGAATAATTCATAAACTGAATATTTCATCTGCCACAATGGACAACTTGTTTATGATCAATGCTTTTAACTTTTACAGTCATTTAAAAGTCATTAAATCAGTTAATTTCCAGGAAAAATCACTTCAGTTCTATTTTTATAGAAAAGGACAGATGAGCATGTTAGGCACAGGGCTTGGAGCCCACAGCTCACTACTGAGAGACCCCAAGCTACTCCATGCCATCAAGTATAGTCAGCGTGGACTAAGCTCTTGCTCTGTACCAAGTAGGGTAACAATACCTGGATATATAGCTGATCTTCCCGACAACCTTATGAAGTAGGTGATATTATTATCCCCAGTTTACACACTGGGTAAGTCAGACTTCATGGGGAAGTAACAGCTCTGCAAAGTCTCCGAGCTAGTCAGTGGCAGAGATCAAGAGGAAGTGGATCTGGCTTAGCCCTGCACTCTGCCAGGCTGCCATGTCTCTTGACTCTTAAAGTTCTTCTCATACAAAGAGGCAAAATTTCTACCTACCATCACTGGGATTGGATAACCTAAAAACACTTTCCTTGAGTAAGAAATTTTAACCAACAGTAAAATGGTGACTACCTACAATAGCGTTTATTTTAATGACAACTTCCTCCTAATAGATCTTAGAAATGTAGTGAGGAGAGACTCAGGACACCTGGGTACAAGATAATTAGTGGGGTGATTGCCCAATGCAAGGCTGATGTGAGCACCATTGAGTTCCTCTGCGTTGTCTGTGACATGTGAATGTTATAAAGTCCTTCTCCTCCATATACAAGGCATGAAGTTTAATGCTCCAGAAGAATAGTTCTTTGGGCCATACGTTACAGGAAGAAAATAACTGCCTCCAGCTCCCAGGAAAGCTCCCATGTAGAGGAATATGCATTTATTATAATTCAAACCACTTCCTGGAAGGCAAGGCCTTGCTATAATCCGAACCAGCCACTCTTTTGAATCCCATTGTTCTTTTACTTCTGTGTGCCTTGATTATAACTAATATTCTCCAGGTGTTTTGTGGGTTAGTTGACAGTACCACAAAGACAAAATTCTTCATAATTCTTGTTTTTCAGAATATCTAGCAAAGTGTTAGACATGCAACAACAGGTGCTCAATAAAAATTCCATTGCTTAATTTGTGTTTTTGTTTTCTTTAGAGTTCTCTGAATCACGGCAGAATAGACATATACTTCTATAGCATATGTGTTACTAGTTGTAATTCTCAGGTACAGTTAGAATTGCCTCTGTTTTTCTAATTTGATTTTTCCCCCTGATTGGAGTGGAGAGTTTTTCCCAGAGCAAACTAATTTAGACTGGTACTTCAGATTTGTTAAGTGAATAATTCAAGAAAGGAATCCCTGGAACCCACAGACGTAACCACATCCTTAGTACTGTGGATTTGCTGTGGGGAGCTTTTCTGCTAGCCCAGCACACACTTTCAGCACCCATCTTCTCATCCCCAGGGAGAGGAAGTGACTCTGAATCGGACTTGCCACACCGGAAGCTGCCAGATGTGAAGAAGGATGACATGTCTGCGAGGCGTACTTCCTACGGTGAGCCGAAATCAGCAGTGCCTTTTAACCAGTACCTCCCGAACAAGAGCAATCAGACTGCTTACGTCCCTGCTCCTCTGAGAAAGAAGAAGGCGGAGCGAGAGGAATATCGGAAGAGCTGGAGTACTGCCACGTCCCCCTTGGGCGGGGACAGGCCCTTCAGGTAAGCAGGAGCTACCTTACTTCCGCCCCACTGGCCTGTTAGTGGGCTGGGAACCAAAGCTCCAGGACACAAATGAGCTCCAATAACCATTTTAGGACTTTGATGTGAGGTCCAGATAGAGTTGGGCAGGTCACATCAGTGGAGAAAGATTATCAAGAAAGAATATAAGCTCCTGGGTGAACTACAACATGCCTGGCACACCGTACACAATCAATGGTTTCACCCAGTTGAACTTCTCTAATTTGTTTTTTACTCTAAACTGTTTCGCAGAATCATACTTTAAGAAATGACTCCTACTGAATTTTCCACTAGTATTATTTGAGTTAGCTATACCTTTGAAAATAAAGCATTATAATAAAATTGGACTGTAAATTAATAATTCAGGAAAATAATACATTATGGACTTCATCATCTGTTCTAAGAAGTCATTTAATTAAATTTAAAATGTGTATGCATGTTGACATGGACTCGACAAGCTTCCATGGAATAGTAAAATAGAATTTGGAGCAGGTGATTCAAACCAGTTCAGTTGACAGGACGCTGAGACCAAAGCTGTCATCCATGTCCTGTGGAAACTGCCAGACTTCTGCCCGTATAAGATCAGGTGAAGATAGTTGTCCACTAAACAGAAAGGCTTTAACCTAGGGGCAAGCTAATCTAGGTGGGAGCTCAAGCGTCCGAGTAATCCACGGAACATGCTTTGCCAGTCCACTATAGACTATAGATATTGTCCACACATGTGAAAGAGATGTTTCTCATCTCTTTGAGAAACAATTGGTATGTCCCCTGATTTTGTCTTTGTAGTCATATAGTCGTTCACTCACTTATTCAGAAAATATTTTAGTATCCACTACATACTTGGGGCTGCCTTATGAACACTGGGAACCCAATAATAAGGTCCTTTCCTTGAAGAACCTTGTGGTTCTACAGTCTAGTCTAAACCTTTTAGCAAAACTGACCTGATGACTGTCTAGTTATTTCTAATTGTCCATCTTCGTTATCTATAGTTTTCCACTGAATAAATATATTGCTAAAAGTTTTAATTACTTTTAAAAATGTGATTTTTACTTTCCAGCAAAAAAAAAAGGTGTTTACCTTTCAATATTAATTTTGCCATAGCTCTTAATCAACATTGCCGATTACGCTGTGTTGTGTTAATTGACAAACGGCTGCATTTCATTTTCTTCCCATTACCAGTGTCATGTATTACATGCCATGACTTTTTTTAAGTGGAAAGTAGTATCAAAATGACTGGGAGGTGACATGTGATCAACTCCCCAGCCCAGTATGTTAGTTCGGTAAACCATATTGTCCAACTCATTAGCTATCCTGAAACAATAGAGGAAGAGGGAAGTGACGTGGGGTCTCCTTGGGAAGAGGACACAGTCGGCCAAATGGATCCTGGTGGGAAGCCTCCTGATGGTGGGTTACAGTTGCCCACTGGCAGTGGTAAGGAGCAGTCCCCTCTGGAGGGGGCTGTGGTGGCACCAGCTCTCAAGTCTGAAGAAAAAGATGCTGCTGAAGTTCAAAAGCTCAGAAGGCTAGAGCAAGCTGGAATCAAGGTCATGCCAGCAGCGCAGCGCTTTGCCAGGTTAGCTCTGCAGGCTGACGGCTGGCTGGCTGGCTTTGCGCATGCCTGGGAGTTTGGAATCTGGCATGTTGGAGTTTCCATCTTGTTTTCCCACTTTCTGCTTTTCCCATTGCACCATCATTCCCTATTCTGTGTGGAAAGAAATAGCTACTAGTCTGTGCCTTAGGGCATGTCCCTGCTAAGTACCTGGTTATTTAAATGGAGGCAGAGTGAGCTTTTTGCTGCTTGATTAGACCTTGTCAGAGTTTTGTGGTCAGTCACTTGTGGGCTGCAGGGTTTACTGAGAAATAACATTTTATTTTTCAACTGTTTGTGGCTTTTTAACTTTCACACTACTCCTAAATGGCTCTTATTTTACATGTCATTAGGAAACAGTTCCTTTGAAATGAGGAGCTTTCTGTAGAAAAAGAGGCTGGCTTAAGAAAACCACCTACTGTCTCTGTCTTAAGGTAGTAGTAAATTTGAGTTTATGTGATTTGTCTTCTAAAGCCTACCTGTTGAAAAGAAGGAAGATATAATTTCTTTAACTGTAACAAAGGCACTATGTCTTCATAGCTTCAGATTATAGATGAGGTAGAGAACTCACCTGTCAAAGACACAGAAAACTATAGTTCTACAATTTTCTCATATAACTACCACGAAGATGCTACAAATAATAGTGTGACCAAAATTGATATGACAAATTGAAATTCATTTCCCAATTTGACAATTAAAATAGCTTAGCCGGGCCCTCCCTGGTGGTGCAGCGGGTTAAAGCACTGCACTGAGAAGCTTAAGCCAATTCCACATGAGTTTGATCCCCGCCTGCCCTGGAGGAGATCCACATGGCATGGCAGACCTCTCCTGACCCGCCCGCTGCTCCCCTGAGCAGTGTACTTCATCCATCTGCCAGTTCTGCTCCCTGCTCTGTCTCTGGTGAATTCTCTCACCCTCCACATCTCTGGCCTGTACCCCAGTTCTGTATGAATAAATAAATAAATCTTTAAAAAAAAAATAGCTTAGCCATATGCTTTTCCATTTAATCTGAAAAGCAGGTATCAGAAGGAGTAAACTAAGGCTCACTTATAGTTAGAGACTTGCTGGTCTCTAACCTGGTTACCTCTGACCAGTAGCCAAATTCAAATGTTTTGACCACAGACATTCATCTACTTCCCACACATTTGCCAGAACATTTTTTCATTGGTCTGTACAACTCCAGTGTGGTTCTTTCTATGGGCTAGTCTTAACTGGCTGGTTCCGTATTGACTTATATTGATTTAATCCTAGAGTAGCTTTATACTGATATAAAAAAAAAAAAAAAACCTAGGATATACTTCTTCCTGTTTGTGGTAGCCCGCAGATAAGTGTGTCTAGCTAAATAAGCATGTGTTTCCAGAGAACTCTGTCATAAAATCATGCTCATGTTACAAGCAGCTTTCTGGGTTTCTGAAATAGCAAAGAGTAATGCCACAGACTTGAGAACAAAAAAGTCCAGATAGTCTTTAAAACTTCAGAGACTTTGTCAACAATATTTGAGCATCTCCTTATATCAGGGACCAGGCTAGATGCTGAGAATACTGAAATATCTAATATTCCCTTACTGTCTACCACTTTCCAGCCTTTTTCTGCTTCTGTCTCCAAGCCTCAGGTTCAATAATAGGTACTAAGTGGAAGACATGACTATGAATTTACAAAAAAATTAATTTTGATATCCTTGACATATATACCATCATTTTTATCATATCTGTGAAGCTTTTAAGAAAAAAATGTACCAACAATCCCATCATCCTTTTTTTTTTAAATTTTATTTATTTATGCATACAGAGCTGGAGTACAGGCCAAAGGTACAGGGTGCTGTGCTATGTAGGTCACTTCCCCACCTGGGGATCAAACTTGTGCTGAGGCAATGCAGCTAGCTTAGTAGTGCTGCGCTTTTGACCCTTTGCACCACCAGGGAGGGCCCAATCACATCATCTATATTTTTTCCTGTTTTCTTATTTTAAAACATGCCAATCCACTGGATTAAAGGCAAATAATTTTAATTATTGGTTTTTTTATTACTATTATGGTTACATATCATATTATGTGTATTGGCCCTTCAAGTTTCCTCTTCTACAAATTGCCTCATAGTCTTTGCCATTTTTTTCCTTTTTTAAATTTTTTAAATTTAATTCTGGTAAGAACATTGATCATGTAATCTATGCTCTAGATTTTTAACTGTACAATACTTGTTGTTTTATATATTTAGATATATAATATATATTGTATTCATATGTAATATGTTGTAATAGATGATACATATTATAATATGTAATATGTGTTGTTACATATATCTATAAAGATAAACTCACACATAAAAAATACAAATTCAGGCCCTCCCTGGTGGTGCAGCGGGTTAAAGCGCAGCACTGAAAACAAGCCATAGCCACTTCAGTGCGAGTTCGATCCCAGCCCCGGAGGTGATCCACGTGGCTGGCAGACCTCTCCTGACCCACCTGCTGCTCCCCTCAGCAGTGTACTTCATCCATCTGCCTGTTCTTCTCCCCGCTCTGTCTCTGGTGAATCTTCTCACCCCCATTCACCTCTGGCCTGTACCCCCTGCTGTATGAATAAATAAAAAAAAAATACAAATTCAGTGTTGAAAACCAGGTCTCTAGAATTCATCCTGCTTCATTGAAACTTTATAGGGAATTGATTATTAGCCCTATTTTCCCCTTCCAAAACCCATAGCAACCACTATGCTGTTCCTTTATTCTATATTCTATACATTTGGCTCTTTTAGGTACTCATACAAGCAGACTTGTGTATTTCTCCTCCTGTCTGGTTTATTTAGCACAATGTCACTGTGGTTCATCTATATTGCTGCATATTGCAGGAATTCCTTCTTTTTTAAAGGCTGAATAATATTCATGCCACATTTCATGCATCTGCCACATTTTCTTTCTTCACTCGCCTGTCAATGGGCACTTAGGTCACTTCTTGTCTTTTGTGAAAAGCGCTGCAGTGGACATGGGAGTTCTAATATCTCTTTGGAGTCCTGATTCCAGTTATCTTGGATAAATAGCCAGAAATAAGATCTCCACATCATATGGTAGCTCTATTTTAATTTTTTCAGATCACCTTTAGTGTACCCAAGAGAAGGATTTTAAATCTTCTGGCTTAGCATTTCAGATTGGCTTTGGGACAATTATGCCTTCTTCCAAAGATCTCTGACAGCCACATGAAACAGCTGCTCCCAACACCCACAATTCATTTGTTAGACAGATTTTCAGCTGCTAGTTCTCATAAAGGTTTTACACATACCATGCCACTAACCCGCCGTGTCTGTCATTGTCACTTACAGTCGACAACCCAGTTGAAAATCACTCTAAGTCTAACTACATTTGGATCCCTCTATGAATGTGGCAAAAAATACTTACCTGGATTGAAG